GATCTATAGATGGATGGATGGATGTATGTATGTATATACATATGTATATATGTATGTATTTATATACATATAAATATGTATATGTATATTTATATTTATGTATCTTAAAATGTATATACATATGTATATATATATATATATATATATATATATGTATATATATATATGTATGTATGTATGTATGTATGTATGTATATATATGCGTATATATATATATATGCGTATATATTTGTATTTATATATATATATATATATATATATACTTATTCCTGTAAAAATAGATTTAATTTTAGATATTGAAGAAAATATAGATATTTGTGGGGGAAAGCTCTCTAAAAAGAGACAATAGACATGATCGTTGAATTCATTTATTATGAACTATTCGTATTTGTTTTTTCTTCGTGTGTTTGTGGGTGTTAATTTTTATATTTTTCACTATAACGAATGCAATGTCCATTTAATATATGAACTATCAACTTGCGAATATATAGACTATCTGGTATATATAATACAATCGTAGGGGTACACATATGAATCTCTTCCACGATTTTTTTTATAGGTCTAAATTTTGGATGCCCCATAGGTACTTTCCGAAATTAACAATAGTTTTTTAAGACTATACATTCGATATTTTCTCCGCCGTCAGAAACTCATTTCACGATCACCAATGTTTTCATTCGATATTTTCTCCGCCGTCAGAAACTCATTTCACGATCACCAATGTTTTCATTCGATATTTTATTTCTTCCTACGTATTCAGGTTTTCTGTTTCTGGTACTTGAGATAAAGAATGACTACATTCGCTTCCACGCATGGCAATCCAGTCTAATATTTGGCGCCAGCACTGTACTTCATATCTTGCTCTGCTGGTATGCGATACACTTTTAATCGTGTATTATGATAAGAATGTTCGTTTCTGTGTATTTCTATTTTCTTTATTTGAATGTGAATGGTCTGTCCATATGGTCTGTCCAGACACTTTTCCTCATTACATTGACTGTGTTTTCTGGTATGCGTTCCACTTTTAATCGTGTATTATGATAATAGTGTTCGTTTTTGTGTATCTCTATTTTCTGTATATAGATGTGAATGGGACTGTCCAGACACTTTTCCTCGTTACATTGACTGTGTCTTCTCATCTTGGAGCTCCTACAATTCCTTCTGCGTGAAATTTGCAATAATTTTTTATATAGTGTGCGATCACTAAAATATTCTTAATTATTCTTGTGTGAATTGGTGAAGATTACAAAGTTCCGGGTCGTGGCTGGAGATGCATTGGTTCTTCGTTAACGAATCGCGTACTTCGAATGTACTCGAGTTTCATCTGCCTTTTCGTCGCTCTGTCACGTAATTGTCCCTTTTTTTCTTCATCTGCTCCCACGCACGCGAGTCGCAAGTACAATCCCTATTTCGCCTGAACTTCCCTTTTACTGAGGGAGAACACTTCTGATTCCATTTCATACAATGTTCAATATTTTTAGACTATCAGTTGATTGATTCTTATTATTACTTTTTGATGAATTTTCCAGGTCTAAGTTTCTCAGTTGGACGTTGTTGCTCGTGGAGATTGCCGCGGCACTGTACTTGGCGAGACTGGCTTATGTGTGCTCTGAGGAACTTCTGAGATTCAAGATCTCACATTTTGGATATCTAGCTTCCAAATGGGTAGATGAAGAAAATGAATAGATGGGACGAATAGACACGAGGAGCACCCTCCGGGATCAGAAACCATTGTCGCGACAAGCCGCTAGTGCCAAATTAATACTCGTGCAGATACAAGGAGTTTCTAACAGATGACGGAGTCACTTTCGGGGATAATATCCGGGTTGAACTGAGCTGACATGCCGCACGCCCGAGTATCGACCAGAACTACGATCTCGTAGCGTGCATCTGAGGCCTTACACTGTCCAATCAATGGGAAGCCTATAGCATTGTTTGTTGCTGCTCCGCTCGTATACCGAATGCAAAATCTCATCACCCCCACCTGGGCAGTTGCGGTCCTGACTTCTGCGTATGACATCATGCGTTGTTTTGCGGTGGCTTATATCGTGGGCTATTGGATGTGTACACCAAAGTTTGTGGTGAAATTACAACGATTAGTGGCTGATTGAGTGTGTGACTATGGCAGGTGACAAGTCGGATGTGACAGGCAGGACGAGGCCAGTTTTCGTTGTGGTTGGCGACGTGCATGAATGGCATAATATTCCCGATCGTGCCTCCACATCCTATCAAAGTGACGTCCTTGCATTATACCTAGCTGGAATGCGCGTATAAAAGATGCCGATTGTTCATGCCTGAAACTCTTTTATCGTTATATTTTAATCGTTCTCGGAGCCCCTCATAGAAAAGCCCAATAAAGATCTTATCAAATTCATCACGCCAGTTGCATGGATTGGTTCTAAAAAACGAGGCTGTAAAATTTTCAGCATATTCTGTACCTAGTTCAAGGGTACGATATAATTATGTTGCTACCCCAGGTCAAATAGCTTTGGCACTAGATATGCCAGTGACACGTGTATCACGGCTAAAGCTGCAGGTAGGATGACTCCAGTCCTTTTCAATTAGAGAATCAGTTCTCGTTCGGTTCGTGGCGCTTCGAGGTCGGGGACTGGGGCGGATTTCAAAGGGGTTTGGCGAATTTTTGTCGAGTACTTCCGATGCTTCCTGTCTCTGTACCGCCTATTGTTATCAGACAAGCAGGTGATGCGAAGCAATTTATTCATGGTCAACTAAATTGTACTCATGTAATGTGTGTGAGTGGCAACCAATATCAGGTTTCTCTCTACTCCCGAATTTATGTACTGCAAATTGAAATGTACACAGCACATACCTCTTACAGCAACACTTGGCGCAGAAAACGCAGCTGATGCCCATCACCACCAAAAAGGTGAGAACTCCGAATATTAAAAAGGCCAAGCCGACTGTGTCAATGGAGGATGATGACGTCGATGCCGCAGAACCTGCGTCCTATAAAAATCATATGCACATAGGTCAGCAATTCTACAAGAAAAAGTGACGACATGTTAAAATGCATATATAGATCAAAATGATAGTGTGCCTCTTGTAAGGTCGCTCAGTATATGCCCATTCGCGTCGATATATGGACAATAGCAATTTTAAGTATGAATTAAGTTTATCCTCACTGTCAGTGATCATATATCCTACCGATATTTCAGTATTCCCGTTGCTGCCACCTCCTCCTGGAGCGGGTGCGTTGTTGCCGGTCACAGGCAATGTACAGTATTCGAAACTAAGCGCATCCTGATTATTATTTGTGGCGAAACCTTCACGGCAGAGACACCGGTTGTCACTTTGCAATGTGCCATTTGGCCCGCACTGTAGAAGAAGGTAATAAAAAGTTCGGATATTATTACGCTACTCTACAGGCAATTGTTGCTCTTACAACCCCACTAGCGAAATTGAACTACGGAAAAAGCGCATGTTTAGTTCAGCAAGCACCACCTGAAATTACATGTCAATATGTGCGAGTGCTAAGAAAATACAGCGATCGAACGTGTAAAATTCATACATCAATCAAAGACTCGGTTGTAGCAATATCCGTAGATGAGAATCCCGCTGTTGTCGTTTCCGCTGTCGTGATCACAGTACCATCAAGGCCAGTCGGAGAATTCACGGTCGTAGTTCTCGTTGCGTCATTAGGTGGAAGTATGGTAGGCGCGTTCGGCAGTGGTGGGAGAGTGATTATTGGACGTAAGCTGCCGTTACCCAAGTCAACCTGCTGTTTAGTTTGATAAAGGTGTAGTATAAGACAGTTGGATCTCTTATCGTAATTTTGGAAGTATAGTTTCGCACTCAACATACAAGACAAGTGAAGCGCTCATTCACACAGACCCCTGCTTTCGAGACAATATACTTACCTGCCGTCGCATGATTATCGTCTCGTGATAGCTAACACTTGCACTCACAATACGAAACTTTTTCCTGTATTTGTCTCAGCAGCTTGCAATAGTCTCAATGTTATATAGCGTCCATCCGCTTTGCTAGTAGTTTTTGTTTCCTTCTGACAAAAAGACAATTTCTGCTTACAGGTGTGATCACAGAAAAAATCTTATAAAAAAACTTTGTTTAAAATCCAGCACGGCTGTACACAATATGTGCGAACGTGCGATTCTACCTCAGTAATGAAGCTACCAGAATTTTGGACCTGTTGATATCGTATATCATGATATACAGTGTAAACACTATTGTACATGACAACGAGCGCGCTGTGCTTTCTATCCATTCTATGTAAATACGTGATACCTACAAGCGGCTCTAGATAGAGGGGTACAAAAGCTCTAAGAAAACTTGATGTTACTAAATATATCGATGCGTAAATACATATATGTAGGCATAACCTAATTTGATAAATGTATGCATAACCTAATTTGATTATAAAATACAACATACAACTGTTTTTCTAGCTCTTTTATTTTTATAAAAGTATTACATATAGATTTTGTATCCAGATTTGAGATTCCAGAGGGCCGTATATTTTAACAATTAAAATGTGAAGTTGTGAACCCCTGCGTCACGCGTGTGCACAAGCTCAGCACACCGTCAGCCAGGCGACAACCGACAGAGTACACCGAATCACCGATAAATATCTATTGTATCTGAATAGTGAATGCTGAGGCCGGAGGTCGAGGATACTAAAATATTTATTTATTTTTTAAAAATAGGAGTGTTCAACGTTACGCAATTTTCGTTTTGTTTTTTTAAACAAAAACTGACAAAACAAAACAAAAACAAAATAACACAAATATATATATATTTTAGAAATAACAAAACAATTAGAGAGAATCTGTTCACGTATAAGTTATAACCATAGATTGTGTGAGGCATGTACTTGTGAGACTGACAAAGAATATCGACGTCCTAAAGAAATCCTTGCATTGATTGATGCCTCCATTGCATCGCGATCTGTTAAAGATACTGAGGTACAATGACGCGAAGATGATAACGATGAGCGGCGAGTCAAACCCGAGTAAGCGGCCATCGTCAAGTGGATTGAGTCAAAGAACACTGAAAGGGTTTCTTTCGTGCGGACAGTGTGTAGGTGCAGGAGTGTTGAGAGATGCATAGGAATAAATGGCCATTCATTTGTATTGCCGACAGCAAAGTATGCTGTCAAGCGACTGATATGGATTACGTAAAGCTTTGCTTCCTTTAGTTGGCTACTACGAGAGGCTAGAAATAACATGTATTACCAAGTCTTTGCATATAAACGCTAAACATTGTCTAATGTCTCAGTTAATATGAAAAGGTGGTCGTCTATGCCCCGGAGCCAATGTTATGCCATGTGTAGAGCTACAATGGAGTACTTAATCACAAACTTTGTTATGTTCCTAGTCATCTACCAGCCCGTATGCAGTGCATCTGCACGAATGGCAGTAGTATGTGCTGTAGAAATACGGCCTCCGGTCAGTCTAAAATATCATGATCAAATGAGATAACCCATTGGTTTTTATTTGTATTTAAAATTATTTAATACAAGTAAAGTGTTCTAAATTCACTTTGATGGCTCCAATAACCTGAGTATTTGGTATGACTCATTTACTTGGTTCTGAGGAAAACTCTGAGGATGACTCGTTGGACCCTAAATCCTTAAAAGTAGAGGTCTCAACTGCCGCGGAAAGACTCGCCAGCGTCCATGTGTCTCCTATTAGGGCAGCCCAGGACCTCAGCTTGCCATCTGACCGCGAAAAGTCAGATATTGGAAAGGATATATCTCCTGAACACGTGGAGGAATCGTCTCGAGATCGACGGTTTATTACTACTAAAAGTCAGCCCAATCCACCTATTAATGTCATTCCTTTTCGTGAAATTTCATTAAATGCCTCGCCACTGAATGCCTTGCCGATGAATGTTGGGGCGGAAGACGCAAATGTTGGGGACGCTATAACTCGACAACGAGTGGTTGGATCTTCTTAGTCTTGACGCCATTAGAACCACAAAGATGAGCTTTAAAAGGAGCTAGACGCTGCCGCAGCTTCTGACCCTTCGGTCATATCCCACGTGGCCGATATTCTTCCTATACCGAAGAAAATAATATTCCAAGCCGGGTTTCGAATTTGAGACTCACTGGTTTACTAGCCAGCAGGGTTACCACTGAGCCAGTTACCGCTGGTAAAGTGGGTAAAATCTCAAGATATAACCCCTATAGCTCGGAAGCTACAATCGACCATCCTCTCGAAAAACCTAACCCTGTCAGAGGCTATGATCGTATGGAAATCGATGAAGCCTACCACCTTCATAACATCGATCATCATTTACCATCTAACCTTGGTAATCACGACTTTGGTAATCGTTATACCAATACATCACTAGAGAGTACCCACTCTAGCTCAGAAGACGAGGAAGTGAGAACCAGACAACATCGTCTCAGGCTATTATGTTCTGGTATGTAAGTTCTTGAGGACCGTCTATTGAATGACTCTGACCTTGACGACAAGAAAGCGGATAACATTCGCTATCTAATCAATAACAAGAGAAAGAAGATATACTCCATCTTGGTACTAGCAGCCGGTATCACTGAGTGTGAGCCTCGTGAACGCTTCGAACCAAGCTTTATAAAGCAGCTAGGAAATGCGAAGGCTGAGGTCAACTACTCTACTTATGAGAGTACAGTGGAGACACTGAAGGTCTTTGATCAACTTAAGGAGTCTGCCAGCCCTAAGGGTAAGCAGATGATGAATGCCTTTATTCATTTCTGAGAGTCAGAGGAATGGAAAACTATCTTGAAGGCCCATGAGCCCAACTGGAAAGCCTTATCCTGGCGCCGTTGCGTGAGAATATACTTAACGCCTTCTTTGAAGATGCACTTGGCCGTGAACTTCTAGAGTCTCGCAAGTCCTTTGCGAACAATACTACTATTCGAGGTGATCTAGCTCATATGACACATATGAACACTCGGATGGGAGGTTGTACCTGTACTGGCAAGTATTTCTTAATTTGTCAGATGATGGAGACTCTGGGGGCTAATCTTTTTAAGAAGGTTAATGATGATATTATCACCTATGGTGATTTCCGATCTATGGCTTAGTCTGTCTTTGAGAAGATAGTTCAAAAGCATACCAGCCCATCTACTAGAGTACTTAGTACCTTGAGCTTTACCGAGCCGGCTAAGCGTACCGCGTTAGAGAATAACACTGCGCGTAATACTAAGAAACCTCGCACTACTGCTGGAAGTGGTAAAGGCTCTACTTCTACTGAACCAAAGGGAGAAAGAAAAGAGAGTGCACCTTGCAAGAAGTGTGGTTACAACCTCACTAAACGTGATGGTTAAGTGTGCACCAGGTAAGCCAAAATTTGGACACTATATGAAAGAGTGTACTACTTGCAAGGGTACTAACGGTTGGCACAAAGATGATTGCAAGGACATACCAAACGTCCAAGTTAAGCACTGACAGTTCCATATGTGTGCACTAGAACAAGATTATGAGAAAAAGTTCTATAAAATCTATACCAAAGGAGATGAACGTATATTTCAAACCGTTTATGTCAATGGAGAAAGGTTATAGCACTTTTTTATCCAGGGGCTGAAGTCTCTGCTATCTCACGCCGAGTAGCCTACGCTACAGATGTGGCTATTCATAACGAAACAACTAATTTAATCTTGGGAAATGGCAAAGTTACCACTTGCGAAGAAGCCATTGACTATGCACACATAATTTTGTCAGATAGAAGAGAAGTAAAGACTCACTTAATCGTTACTGACATGTCTCAGAAATATGATTTAATTATAGGTATGACTGATCTTCTCAGTTTAGGTATATCTTTCACTGGTCTGCCTAATGGGCTAGACCCAAATAATGATCAGTCAGATGATAACATGTTAAAGATACCTAAACCTCCGGAAAGTGAAGCAGAGGATATGATTCCGCACGTTACCGATATAATTATGGACTTAATTATACAAAACAGAAAGATTGCAATAACTGACTGGTGTATGTTTAAGTTCTCTAACGGGTACGTTAAGCTTGACTTAACAAACGTCGACTTCTCTAAGCTAAAGTGTGCTTCACATAACTACGTGAGTCGGAGATACAAGGACGTTGTCAAAACCCAAATTGAAGATTGGTTAAAACAGGGTCTAATTAAAATCAATTATGATGCAATCCCAGTTAACTTAGCTCTCTTAGCGGTCGATCAATATAAATCTGATGGCACGTTTAGTAAAACAAGAGTAGTACTAGACCTGTCGCCAATCAACAAACTTTTCCGCAACATAGTTTTCCCTTACCAGAGATAAGCGAGATGCTACGCAAAATGGAAGGTGCGACTATATTTTCCTAGGTAGACTTAAAAGCTGCATTCTATCAATTACAAATATATGAGCCGCATAGGAAATACTTTCCCTTTACTTGGCAAGGTAAGAAGTACCAGTTTAAAGGTGCACCTGAAGGCTTACACATGTTACCTTCTTTCTTCCAATAAGTTATGATATAACTATTTGCGGACCTGTCGGATAACGTATCAGTATATTTAGATGATATAGTTATCTTTACAAAGACAGTACATGAACATGCTAAACTCGTTAAGGAAGTCTTAAAGCGACTAAACCATGCCAAACTTAAGATTAACGAGGACAAGTGTTCTTTTGCTAAAGATTCTATACACTTACTTGGTTACAAGGCATCTGCAGCAGGGGCAGAAATTGATTCTGGCAAGAAACAATTTCTGTTGGATCTATCAACACCGATTACTGGAAGAGATGTGAACTCTGTGTGTGGGTTTGTTAACTTCTTCTCAGATTCGGTACCTCGTCTTTCTCAATACTTAAAGCCTTTCAGTCACCTACGGCTGCACAAAGGATCTTTGGGAAAGCTCTGGACTAGAGAATGTGATGATGCATTTCAGCTAGTCAAAAGTAAAGTAATGAACGCAC